CCTTTACAGAACTAAGTATGGCTATCTCTGATTGGATAAAATTACATCTTCACTGTCTCAAAAAAAAACTCCTGCTTAAAAAATTGATAACCTTAGGCATGTGCGGCATGCCTATTCTAAACCGACAATGCAGTATAAACAATAAATGTGAATGGGAAATTAAATCACAAAATATTAATATGTGTTGACAATTGATTGGGTAGTCTTAGTATTATATATTTATTTGTGTGGAATAATTTCTATTCTCAATGAAGACAACAAACAATTTATGTAACCCAGCATTTTGCTTACACCTTTTTCAAGGGTCAATGAGCATCACAAGTACCCAATGAATTTTAAATTAAGCGTAACTGAAAAGAAAATACAACTAAGACAATATAAGGGAACAGTAGACACGAAGCATGCTAAAAGTATTGTTAAATGGGTTAGAGTCGCTATCATAATGGTAAAAGTTAAAAAATAAATAAATATAAGAAAATTAAAAAAAAAGGATTATAAAGGCCAGACATTGTACCTGTTAATGGAAGGGCATCTGGATTGAATGAAAAGAGATTCCTTAAATTTTCTGTCAAGAAAATTGTCATAAGTCTATATTTTTCCTTCAATAAAGTGTCTCATTGATTGTAAAAAGTCAAATATAGTTAAAAACTGCATAGGCATATAATCTGGGGACCCTACAACCATCTGGTTTAAATGAATGCTTTTCTTTTCTGTAGATTTCTATTTTTCCATTTTTTTAAATTGTAATTGCTATCTGTTTTATCTTTTCATGATTTGTAATTCTAATGTAATAGATGTAATTTTACTTAAAATTTTAAAGCTCAGCATTCAAAATACTACTACGCATGCAAGTTCTTTGATGTCTGAGAAAGTGCCTTTGTTGTATACTGTACAATCTAATGAAAAGAGCTAGCTCAAAATGTTATCATACTTTTAATTTTAAAAAATGGGGATTGTTCAACTTATTACTTAATTTAGTTTCATTGATTGTGCTGTGTACTTTGATGTGATGTTCAGTGGTAGCTTCTTTGTTATCAAGATTACTTTAAAAGTAATAATAAATTTCTATTCACTTTTTGGCAAATTAAAGGTAATTTAGATTAGCCACATTGAGTTCAGCTAACGTTCGCAGAACTTGGATGCATCAAGTTTGAGCAATGGCATTGCTTTGTGAAAGCTCATCATCTCTGTAGTAATTTGATACATTGTCTTATATCAAGTTAACAGAAAAAGTAAGTTTTTTCAGAATACTGAAACAAGTATTGATGTTCTTCATCAAAAAGTTGAGGCTATCTGTATGTTTCTGCAAGAATACAGAGAAAGTGGTTTTGTAATGGTGTGGAAGGTAAAGAGATTGCTGAAGCTATAGAAGTTAAAAAAAAGTATTTCCAGAGTAAAGATAAAAAAGAAACAGTGAATTTTTGATTATGAAAATAAAGAACAGTCAGATAACAAAACTCCTGAGATTGTGTACCAATAATTTTTTTCTTCCCACTTACTGATGTTGCTCTCAGTAGCATAACCAAACAATTTTGTCAAATGCAAACTTTCTATGATGTCTTTGGCTTTATCTAATTTATCAATGAAATGAAAATTGCTCTATATCAAAACACATTACAGGTTAATTGTGTGAGGATTGCAAATGATACTAATGATTTATATTCAGAAGTATCATGTGCAGTTATAGCACAACCACACAATGTCTCTTCACCACTTCAATTTCTTGATTATATCTTCAAAGAAACTTTGGTGGATTTGTATCCAAACTTAACTACTGCTTTTTATTTACTGTTGACTGCGCCTGTAGCAGTTGCCTTGGGTGAAATAACTTTCTCACGTTTCAAGCTGATAAAAAAAACTTTGAGGTCTTCAATGTCCCAGGAGCATTTCAATTATCTTGCTCAGATTTCCATTCAGCATGAAATAGCAAGAGTTGCCATATGATTATCTATCAGTCTATATAGCACGCAAAGTAAATTTAAAGAATAGTACAGCACTAGTTAACTTAATAGCAAATGATACATATGTGCTATTACTGAAGACTGATAATGTTTTTTTGAAGTTGCTTCACCTCGTGATGAATAATTCACTATGTACAACGAATTCATAACATTCCCAAATGTACAGTTATTAATATGATTTTCTAAGACAAGAGGAGAAGTTTTCCCACAGTATTGATATACTAAAATATTGCCTTAACTTTATTTTGAATATTATATTAAAGCTTATAGCAACAATAAACAACACATAAGCACTAAAAGATATACAGTGCCTCACAAAAGTATTCCCCCTCTACAAATAATGTCACATTTTGATGAAATACAAATAATGTAAACAATTTCTTTTTTAATGAAGTTGTTTTTATTCACAATTCTAATGATTAATTTTAACACTGTTATGTGTAAAGGATGTAGGATGTCATCAAAACCTGCAAAGAAAATATATAAATTGAAATTTGCTGACTGCATAAGTATTCAGCCCTGTAAGTCACTACTTGGTACAAGTATCTTTGGCAGCAATTACTGCTGCGAACCTTTTTCAACAGGTCTCTACCAGCATTGCACAATTGGATGGTGTAATTTTTGCCCATTCTTCCTGGCAAAATGGCTCCAATTCTAACAAGTTCATTGAAGATCGATGATTATCTGCAATCTTCACATTTTGCCATAAATTTTATTTTGGATTCAAGTCAGGACTTTGACTGGGCCGCTCCAGGACATTCACTTTTTTTCTTCTGAAGCCATTCCAGTGTGGCTTTGGCCTTGTGCTTTAAGTCATTGTCCTGTTGAAATATGAATGTTTGAACCAGTTTTAGATTCTTGGCTGACTCAGTCAGGAATCACTTGTACTTTGCACTATCCATCTTCCCCTCAATCCTGACAAGCTTCTCAGTCCCTGCTAATGCGAAGCATCCCCATAATATGATGCTGTCACCACCATGTTTGACAGTTGGGATAGTGTTGACTGGATGATGTGCTGTGTTGGGCTTGCGTCAGATGTAACACTTTGAATTTAAACCAAAAAGCTAAATTTTTTTTCATCTGACCATAAAACCTTCTTCCATATGTCTGCAGTATCATTTACATGCTTTATCGCAAACTCTATACAAAATTTAAGATGAATGGCTTTATTCTTACCACTCACCCATACAGGCTAGTTTTGTATAAGGACCGGGATATTGTTGTCATATGAAAACTGACTCCCATCTCAGACATGAAACTTTGCAAATCTCTCAAAGTTACTGTTGGCTTCACAGTAGCATCCCAAACCAGTTTCCTGTTTGCCCAGCTGCTTAGTTTGGAAGGGTGGCCTGATCTGGGTAGTGACTGGGTGGTATGAAACACGTTCCACTTCTTAATGATGGACTTCATTGTACTCAAAGGGATAATCAATGACTTTGAAAGTTTCATGTAATCTTCTCCTGATTTTTGCTTCTCTACCACTTTATCCCTGACTTGTTTGGAAAGCTCCTTGATCTCCATGGTTGGTTTGTCATATCACTATGCTTGAATAGATACATTTACTCTGAAGTCGAGTTAAATCAATTTGATTATACACAGACAAAGATCATTAAAATGATTTTATGACCTTTCAAACTAATCTTTTAATGGCTGGAGATGGCTTGAACGGGTAATGAAGGAAAACTTTAATATAAGTTTAACATAACAGCAAATGTACAATGTTTCGACAAGTTTTGTCATCATCAGCTGTAATATTTATTATCTCTGTAATAGAAAGAGATCTATGGACTCATATGTAGAAGGTCAGCTATAGTGATTTGTCGCAAGTTAAAAGAAAAAGACAATACATGTGGTGAAACTAAAAAAAAAATTGAACAGAGTTGTTTAAACATTTGTTTAACACCAAGTAAAAGCTTGGAATGGTCTATTCTTTCATTGGGGGTGTGTCTGTAGACCAGACTAGTTTTGGAGAATTCCACTCCTCATTAGTGACCATGGACACAACCACTGAATGAAACTTCAGACCAAACCAAGCGTTTATAGTAGTGAGGTATCGAAAATCGCAAAACCCCAAATGAAAGAATAGACCATTCCAGGCTTTTACTTGTTGTTACACAAATGTTTAAACAACTCTCTTCAACTATGTATCAGCTGCTTAGTGTCAGCTAAAAATATGAAGAATTCAATTGTGGCAGAATACTACAAGTTCATCAAATTCCTATAGAATGATAGGTTTCTTTTTTGTGAATGTAAAACACTTAAAAACACCATAAAAAATAAATATTTTACTTTCTAAGAAACAGGAGATGGATCAATGACTGATCAGACTAATAGAGTACTATGAAAATACTGGGTTTAAAGTTAAATGGCTAAACTATATTTTCAATAAAAAATAAATGAAGGAAAACGTGTATTTCAATAAAGAATGAAAACACACTTTACTTAAAATAAACTGAAGAGCATTTGTACTGAGTACCTAGAGGAAAGATCCACATGAAACATGAACAGGACTTCACTAGTGAATCTTAACTCTTTCAAACTGTAGTCATAACTGGCTAAAGATACCAAATCTGCTCTCATATTCCATATTTTCTCTGTAACGGACAAATTAGAAAATTGAATCCCAAGTATCTGAAAGTATCTTGGCTCTATGTAGCAACCATAGAATAGTACTATAGTAAAACGATCTATTGAAATAGTATATAGCTTCCTAGACTGAATACTTTTGCAGAAAGTAACTCCTTGGACTGTATTGGCACATGACCTCAACCAGATTTGGTATGTTATATATTTAAACACTTTATAATAACAATAATAAAACCTAGAGAAATATACTAAAGGAGAATGAGATGTGTGGTACTTACCACAGTACTACATCACTTGAACACTTTCACTAATGGAATACTTTATAACTGAATACGGTTCAACAGAGAGAAAACAATATTGTATGAATAATCAAAATTCATTATATGTTGATATAATAAAATTTCAACATACTAAGTGTTCAAAATACGTTACTATAACATGACTTCAACTTACATGCGTTTTGTATCAACATTTGGCATATCTTTAATGACACCCAGGCTGGGATCAATACTGCTAAATGCCACTAAGGTTTCTTCTATTTCAGATATACTTTCATAAGCAGATGAGTACTCCATTGTTTTTGAACTCATTTCAGTCCTTGTGCTAGTTGCCATCCAAGCCTTCTGTTCACTTTCCTTAACACTTTTCATTTTTCCTGTTCCCTTCATTTTATGCTCTGAAAAATATAAGATCAATAAAATCAGAATAAACTGAAATGCATGGTTCTCGAAGTAACAAAGAATCAGTTGATTCAATACAAAAAGCAATAGGAATAACTTATAATTCCTTCAGGTTTAGAGTTTAAAGCTAAAGAGAGACTTTGCAACAAAATTACAATTACAGACTAGGCAACAATTCCCAAAAGGTGTAAAGTAAGGCTTCTACATGCATTTTTGGGTGAAAGTTGGCAAAATTACTTTCTAAGATAATTCAAGTATGCTGAGTTAAAAAAATACCATGTTGCCAATCTTAATTTTGATGATAAGGTCGTCAAAATTGCAAAACAAAATAGCCACCAAAATCACATTTTTTCCCAAAGGTAATTTACAAACTTTATTTTTTATTTCAATCATGTTATTATTTAGTGTTGCCACAACAGATGTTGTTCAACTGCAAAACATATCTACCTTTTACTTGAATCAAGTTAACTTAAAATAAGAACAATTACAAAGCACAAACCCTCATCTTTTGGACTAATAATTCTTGGAGATGGCTTGAATGGGTAATGAAGAAAAACTTTAATATAAATTTAACATAACAGCAAATGTACAACGTTTTGTCATCATCAGAACATTTTTGTCATGCACTATTATTTTTCACACACAACTTGTCAGCAAAACCTTCAAATCACTGCATACTAAAGTCTTATTTGTTTAGGCACTATACAATTTAACAAAATAATAATTAATACTTTTTCAAATGTCAATAATTAATAAATCAAATAGCATCAAATGAACTCGAATCTCTAGACTACATACGCTGCCTCTTTTACTGTCTGTTCCCTCATGCAAATTGCTTTTTTTTTTGGTTGATTGGCATATTATGCATCATGATAAATCTACAGAGAGATGTTTTTTTTGTTTTTTTTAAGACAAGTTCCCTCTCTGTCTAGTGTATTTTTACATTCTCATATATATCCTACATCAACAGTAGTTAACTAAGAAACTATAAAAGGTTACCAGCTATACAGATACCAATATTTCAGACAGCAAGAACATGTTATCAGAATATCAGATGATTACAAGGAGAGAGTTAATATTGCTTTTCACCCATAAGAGGGGGTTGTCACTGACAAAGAGAACTGAAGTATTGTTGCGTCATCGAGATCACATGACTACAGTGACACCACGTTTCTAGAACTATCCCGTATCTTGGCGAATGCTCTAGTATTTGCTAGATATAGGGTAGGCTGGTATATAAAAGAGGGGAAGGTAATGTGTGTGTAGATAGTGAGTAATTGATCTGCAGTCAGAAGTATTATT